ATCTTTTTCATTCAAACAATCAATTCAATAAAGCAATTAAACAATCAATTTAATGAAATAATTAAACAATCAATTTAAAGGAAGCCAATGCCTAGGTTGAATCTAACCCAACAAGCGCCCTTTCTTTTTCCTTCCTTCCTCTCTTCTTTATTAATCAATTCTTTCTCTCCATCAAACAACCAAACCCATAAATTTTTTTTTTTTAAAAAAAGCAAATTTTTTTGCCCTTGGGTTCAAAGGAACCTAGCACACATGAGTGCAATAAAACCCAATGCTTGGGTTCAAACAAGCCTAGAGCCTAGGTTCGAACAAACCTGTGCTTAGGTTCCAAGGAACTTAGTAAGTGCCTAGGTTCCAACGAACCCCACGCCTGGTGCTGTTGCCCTTTGCTCTTTTAGGGTTCGAATGGGAAGAAAGGGGAGAAGATAGTGAGCTTGGGTAGGAGGTGGGCCCCATGTTTTTTTTTTTTGGTTGACTGGGGATGTGATGTGTTTTTGATGACATGTATCTTTTTTGTCCATGTGTATAGTTGATGTGTCATAATATTTGGACATGTCATCATACTCTAATAAGTTAATTGGACACGTCACTGCATTTTTAACGAAAGGACCAAGTTGGGGTAAATTTAGTGAACAGTAAGGTCCAAATCATAGATTTTTTTAGTTTAAGAACCAAATTAGGGACCTGTACAATAGTTCAGGGACCAAATGGGGTTTTAACCTTAAGAAAATGGAGGGGTCCAATGGGAGCGCGAAAAATTGGGGGGCGTAGCGGAGATTCCCGTGAAGTTTTGGACTCCCACGGTGCCCTGCGTTGACCGTCAACTCATCACGAATTATTGCCCTTTCGGTTTTTTCAAGGGTTCTTGGATTCCGTGAGGGACGGGGAACGTGGGACCTTGTTCGGCGGGGGGGTTTTTAACCTTTGTTTGACGGTAATTTAGGGTGCGGTTGAAGAAGCAACCCAATAAGGCTAATCATGCAAATTACCCCCTAAACTTATTAAGAGGTGACAAAAAAAATCCCTAAACTGAAAACAGTAACAATTGACCCCTTAAACTTGTCATCGGTGGCAAATCAGCCCTTCTCCAACGGCTGATGTCATCGTTCCGTCCAAACTTAACCGAGTTCATGTTTTTGTAGGGTCCACTGTTGAGCTGCACTTGATGTAGCGTTCTTCGTCATCTTCAACTTCTTCTTCTTCTTCTTTTTTTTTTGGCAAAACCATAAGTTAAGCCCCTGAACTAACCCCGGAATTGCTATTAAGCCCTTAGACTTTAATTGATGCAGTTAAACCCTTGAACTCTGGGATCAAAGCAATTAAGCCCTTCTTCTTACGCTATTAAGC